AAAAAAAAAAAAAAAGGGAAAGGAAGAAAGCTATAAAGAACACTGGAACAGGATCAGTGGCCCCAGGCCTTAACTCTGATTCTGCCACCAACTGAGTGAACTCACAGACTTCAATCTGTCATTTGTTCAAAGAATGCTTGATCCAGCTCTGACAACTGAGGACTCTGAGATATCTCAAGAATCCGTAGATATTTACTGACCTCTTTGTGGCACTCATCCAGCAGGCAACGGATGGTCTGCTCCAGCTTCAGCTGCGTTGTGAGCTGAATAAGGACTGAGTAGACACAATAGCATTACTAACCAGGACACACCACCAAACCAAAGTCCGCCTTCCATGGCCCTTCTACTCAGTCAATGCAGGGTAGTGATTTGCCTGGGATAATTGGTATTATTCTTTTCTATTTCTTCCATTAAACTACGTGTACACATCCAAACTCAAGGAGTTCTAGATGCTGCTTTTTTGTTTTGTTTTTCCTTTTGTTTTTCTTTTGTTTAGAGACATGGTCAACATCCAAGCAAAGTGCAGTGGTGTGATATAGCTCATTACAGCCTTGAATTCCTGGGCTCAAGCGTTCCTCCCACTCAGCCTCTCATGTAGCTGAGACTAGAGGTACATGCCACCATGCCTGGCTAATTTTCTAATTTTCTTGTAGAGACAGGGTCTTGCTATGTTGCCCGGGCTAATCTCAAATGCCTGGGTTTAAGCAATCCTCCTGCCTGATTCCCAAAGTGCTGGGATTATAGGTGTGAGTTACCATGCCTGGGCTTCTTTTATGTCAGTGGTTCTCAACTCAGGCTGCACATCAGACTCACCTAGAAAGCTTTAAAAAAATACTAATGCCCAAGTCCCACTCCAGACCAATTAAATCAGAACGTGTAAGGGAAAAGCCCAATATATTGTTTAATATGAAGAAATATACACATATATATACACAAAAATATATTTATATTTAAATATATTTTAATATGTTTTATACTTAAAAATAATTTTCAAAACATAAAATTCTAGTGTATTTCTTTTTTTTTTTTTTTGAGACGGAGTTTCGCTCGTTACCCAGGCTGGAGTGCAATGGCACGATCTCGGCTCACCGCAACCTCCGCCTCCTGGGTTCAGGCAATTCTCCTGCCTCAGCCTCCTGAGTAGCTGGGATTACAGGCACGCGCCACCATGCCCAGCTAATTTTTTGTATTTTTAGTAGAGACGGGGTTTCACCATGTTGACCAGGATGGTCTCGATCTCTTGACCTCGTGATCCACCCGCCTCGGCCTCCCAATGTGCTGGGATTACAGGCTTGAGCCACCGCGCCCGGCTAAAATTCTAGTGTATTTCTAAAGTTCTCCAGGTAAGTCTACTGTGAAACCAGATTTGAAACTGCTATTTTATATTATCTCTACTTTTCCCTTCCTCAGAGTTTGCTCCTTTATGTATACTTAAAAAAAGAATTATTAGCAAGTTCCTGTGCCAATTATTACATTATCTCTCAGCTCCAAACCCACCCTTGTCTACAATCATTTGTGGTACTTCTGCTGGTGTCTTTGAGGAGAAATTCTGCAAGGTTGGAAAAGCTGCAAACTAAATTCAGCAGCTGCTGTGAGAAGGTTCTGTCACTGTAGTGTCAAGAGGCATTCTAGGCTAACATGCTCAGAAACAAGAAGCAGGCAGAAAGCAAACAAGAATAATGAGGAAGGAGCAAGTCCTTCTCCCCTGACCCTTAGAATCCCTCCAGTGCTCTCAACCTGGGTGAAGTTCCTGGGGTCTGGTAATGGTTTTGCAAGCTGTGCTGGTACCAACCAGAAGTGGATGGATGGCTGCAGGATTGTAGCTCCACTAGAGGGTGGCCTTGAAGGAAAATGATGACGGGAAATCCCCCAGGTGGTCAGAACAAGTGATACACTGTCTACATTAGCTACAATGAGAGCTGGTCAGAAGTACATACAGATCATATTGCCTTATACGCAACTGCTAACTCTTAGGCTGGATAGTCACAGACTTGAGAAATACACAATTGAAAGACTGGTAACTAGGCCAGGTGTAGTGACTCACACCTGTAATCCTAGCATTTTGGGAGGCCGAGGAGGGTGGATCACCTGAGGTTGGGAGTTCAAGAGCAGCCTGGCCAACATGGAGAAACACTGTCTCCAGAAAAAAATACAAAATTAGCCGGGCGTGATGGTGGATGCCTGTAATCTCAGCTACTCAGGAGGTTGAGACAAGAGAATCGCTTGAACCCAGGAGGCAGAGGTTGTGGTGAGCCGAGATCGCGCCATTGCACTCCAGCCTGGGCAACAAGAGTGAAACTCCATCTCAAAAAATATATATATAAAAATTAGCCAGGCATGGTGGTCTGTAATCCCAGTTACTCAAGAGGCTGAGGCAGGAGAATCACTTGAACCTGGGAGGCAGAGGTTGCAGTGAGCCAAGATTGTGCCACTGCACGCCAGCCTGGGCGACAGAGTGAGACTAAAAAAATATATATATATACATTGGTGACAATGAGGCCTGGAGAAGATGGACCTTTCAGAATGAGCATAAAGTATGAAGATACTTGTCTCTTGTGTGAATATTCCCTAAAGAAAATCTGCTGTAGAAGAGGTTCTCAATAACCAGGTGGTCAAAATGGCACATTTTTTGAATGTTAATTCACCTCTTTCCCTAGCCATCAAGTGCTTATTCAATGGATCCATGTACAAAGCGGCTATAGTGGCAGAGCTGGAGGCTATGCATGGGGCTCAACAACCTGGACTTTGTCTTGTCAAGGCTGAACTGATTAATGCTATCACTGAGTGTCTAATCTGCCAACAGCAGAGACCAACACTAAGACCCTGGCATGGCACCATTCCTGAGGGCACCAGCCAATTATATGGTGTCATGTGGATTACACTATACTTCTTCCATCCTGGAGGGGCAGAAATTTGTCCTTACTGGAATAAACATGTATTCTAAATACGAACCTACCTTCCCAAACCATAATACTTCTGCCAAAAACACATCTGTAAGCTTACAGAATGGCTTATTCAATGTCATAGTATTGTGCACAGCATCACTTGGATCAAGGAACTCATTTCACAAGAGAAGTGAGGCAAAAGTAAAAAAAAATAAAACAAAAAGAGAGAGAAAGAAGTTGAAGACCAGCCTGGGCAACATGGCAAAACCCCGCCTCTAGTAAAACTACAAAAATTAGTCAGCCGTGGTGGCTTATGTGAGTAATCCCAGACATTCAGGAGACTGAGACAGGAGAATCACTTGAACCTGGGAGGTGGAGGTTTCAGTGAGCCAAGATCACGCCACTGCACTCCAGCTTGAGCAACAGAGTGAGACTTCATCTCAAAATAAATAAATAAATAGGCCGGGCACGGTGGATCACACCTGTAGTCCCACCACTTCGGGAGGCCCAAGTGGGCGGATCATGAGGTCAGGAGACCGAGACCATCCTGGTTAACACAGTGAAACCCCATCTCTACTAAAAATACAAAAAAATTTAGCTGGGCTTGGTAGCACCTGCCTGTAGTCCCAGCTACTCGGGAGGCTGAGGCAGAAGAACCACTTAAACCGGGGAGGCGGAGGTTGCAGTGAGCTAAGATCGCGCCACTGTACTCCAGCCTGGGTGACAGAGCAAGACTTTGTCTCAAAAAAATAAATAAACAAACAAATAAACAATCACCAGAGATGGATGGTATGACTGTCTTCCAGAAATGTGTATACTTAGTATTGGAACTTTCCATCTCCATACACTGGGGACAAATTGAGAATGACTTAGTTTATATGAAGTGTATGAATGAAGGATACTTGGATCTCGTTAGGTAGAAACAAAGTTCTTTTTGCTCTGTGGGAGTTCAAATATGTGGAGAAGTGTGTTTGGACACCAAGTATCCAAAGGAATGGACCAAACCAGTCATTTCACTATTGTCTTTCAGCTCCAAAACTCACCCTGTACTTTGCCTTGGAATACTAGGGCTGGACTCTGCAAACTACATTTTTGCCTTGGTAGCTGAACCCCATTAAGCTCTGCCAATAAAGAGCACTGTAGGAAGAAAGAATTTTCTCCTTCCTCTTTATTTCCTATGAGTTTCCTGTCTGCTTCCCATTCATACAATACACTCCTCATTCATATAATGCACTTCCCTCTTAATATTTATTTTTTTTAAGAGACAGTCTTTGTATGATGCCCAGGTTGGACTTGAACTCCTGAGCTCAAGCTATCCCTCTTGCCTCAATCTCCTAAGTAGCTAGGACTACAGACCCACACCATGGTGCGTGGCACCTTAGCAATTCTTTATCCTGGCAGTAGCAGCGCCATTCTATGACAGCAGCTGAATCAAGCCTGCAGTTTTTCCATAACCACCTTCATTGCATCTCTCCTTCTCCAGAGACAACAGTATTATCTAGTCAGTGCCACTCAGTGGTCTGAGTTTCACATGTGCACCCCTCCTCCACACTTGTAAGTTTTAACCATCCAGTCTCTTTCCTTTTTTCCCTCAGCCCCAGTGACGGAATTGTTTTCTGTAATTGCTACCTCCATGAAAATGTGGTTGTTCTCTTTTTTTTCAGTTACCTACTTAACCAATATTCTTTTTTTTTTTTTTTTTAATTAAGACAGGGTCTTGCTGTGTCACCCAGACTGTAGTGCAGGAGTGCAATCTCAGCTCGCTGCAACCTCCGCCTCCCAGGTTCAAGTGATTCTCCTGCCTCAGCCTCCCGAGTAGTTGGGATTACAGGCACCCCCTACCATGTCCAGCTAATTTTTATTTTTTTGTATTTTTGGTAGAGATAGGGTTTCACCATGTTAGCCAGGCTGGTCTCGAACTCCTGACTTCAAAGTGCTCGGATTACAGGCATGAGCCACCATGCCTGGCCTACTTAACCATTCTTTAAAGTTTCTTTCTATTCAAATAATTGGTATGGTTTCTATTTCTTGACTGGATCCTAACTAGTACAATTCTAACTCTCTGCAGGAATCCTCGAATACCAAGGCTCTTACCTTCTTCCTCTACAAATCCTTTATAAGTAAACCCATGCGCTTTGACAATTTTTTGTTTACTTTTTTTTTTTTTTTTTAAAGAGAAGGGGGTGTCACTTTGTCATCCAGCCTAGAGTACAGAGGGCCAATCATAGTTCACTGTCACCTCAAACTCCTGGGCTCAAGGGATCCTCCTGCCTTAGCCTCCCAAGTAGCTGGGACTACAGGCATGTGCTACCATGCTCAGTCCACTTCAAC